GCTAATTCAATAATCTTTTTCTTTAAAACTCGAATATTTTAGTAAATCTTATATGCTATTGATCTATTCACTGGTTTTGGATCCCAACATCAATTCAGGAGTATCATCTGTGATTTCCTGTAGTAAATTCCCACACTATCATACCACAACTGTAAATGTCTGATCCTTTTCTATATGATTTTCTTAATAACACTTCAAGTGCCAAGTATAGAATGACTCCAACTATTTTACTTTTGTCATTTATCATTTGTTGGCTTGCTCGTGTTTATATCAACATGGCAAAAATCAAAGAAACAAGTTCGAATATTGATTACTTGCAACGATTCTGAAATCGACAATCTTTATTTGGAATTGTTGTATGTGAAATTGAAATGATTTCGAATATTACAATAGATGGTTCAATTACTTGTATAATTTTGGATATTAATTTTAGCAAAATAATTATATTTTGTTTTATTTTACGCTTCAGTAGTCCTGAATTTCATCAATGGGTAAGAAACAAAAAACGATGTCCAAATTCCAGTAATCGTTTATCATTATCGAACTATTATACTGGAGAATCATCATGTCCGAGTTTTTTTAAGTAACAGAGTAATGAGATACTGAGTGATAACCAATTTATAAAAAATAACTTTAGTTACAAAGTTTTGGGGTTACATGATTAATATCATTTCATGGTGGTGTTGAATATTCGGATCTTTTTTATGACCATTATTTACTCTTTTCACTTCAAAACCATAATCATACATTAATATGATGTTTACTTGCTGGAAAAAAATAGAAAGTTTATTATATTTATAGAACTTCAATCTTTTTATATCCACAATATAACTGCGTCGTTTTTTATTTGTTGAGTGTATATATGCCCATTAATTAAATTCTATTTATTCTATTACTGGCAACGAATTGACCACATCCAGTACATTTACCAAACCATATTTTTCAAGTTCTGCTGCTTTAACAACATCAACAAGTTGCTGTTTTGGAGTATTCAAAGGATCACCACGAGTGAAAGGGTAATAGTCGAAGGTTGCTCCCGCGTGTACGCCAGGAGAAATTGGGGTCCCTTATTAAGTATATTATATTCAGTTTGAAAATCACGTAAGATAAAAAAGAAATATTTATGCAAAAAAAATTTATCGATAAAATCCACAAATACATACCAACAAGATATATCGCAATAGGCTTCAAAACACCATGCATCAATGCTGGTAATCCACCAACCACAAAGTTATTTTTGTCTTGGCCACCAATTTTCCAAACATTTTCTAGCAATAACATCAGATAGGAATAGGAGGCATCAAAGGCTGTGGCAACACGTTGAATATCTGGTTTATCATCATAAGTTCTATTATGATAGGAGGCGAGAGTTAAATTAATAATATATGGAAAGTGAGTGTCAATTTTTTCATCTTACAACCTTCGGAAAAAGAAAAGCTTTCACTTACGAACTATTTGGGTTATCAGCAACGGGCCAGAGCTGATAATCCTTCTCACAAGACTTTTTAATCAATTCCAAGCAGCATTGGAATTTTTGGTAATGAGAGGCTTCGTCTTCGGTTTGTGATCCTTCTCCCTATATAATTAAAGCCATAGGAAATCACAAATTTCACGTAAGTCAATCTATACAAACCTTCCATAAAAAGCAATGTAGCTATTGGACAATAACACTGCACCTGGACTTTAATTAATTCAATAGCCTTCTTAGCAGCCGCCAAATCTTTAATGACAATTATTCCATCGTTTCCTGTACCTGTGCTCGGAGCGTAGCCCATTCCGGCTTCAAGCTGTATCCATAACGTAATTACGTATCGCTGTAAATGACCAAAGGATAGCCTCATATAGAACAAGTTCTAAAATGGAAACAACTAATTACCTGAAATGTCGTTTTGTATTTAATTTCTCCAGTTAACTTTTCAAAACATCTTTCGATCACGTCATAGAGTTTTCCTATACTGTCAACTGAGACCTCATCACCCACCACATTGCCAGCTTCAAAAAAATTGAAGGATTATGATACATTACAAAATTTACAGTAATAATACGCAATCTGTAAAGTGATAAAAGAAATGAAAGTACCTAAAGGTGATGTATGTAATTTCATTAATTTATGAAATACAGGTTTAGAGTGTTTCTTTAATAGTTCATCGGGTTTTTCAATGTTTATAAAAGTTTTGATATTAGTTTCATCTGCTTTTGACAAATTAACCATAACTTCACCTATATTTGAAAATGCAATATGATTTGAGTTTCACCTCGAAAGCAATATGGTGAACATGTTTATTTGCAAATAGTGTCTCGGTTGAACTAATTATTTCAATAAAAATTACCTTGGCTAACGTGGGGCAAGGGGTTCGGGTAGGAAGGAATCGCTTCCTGAGAATAGAAGATAGGTTTATATTCTGCAAATCCATTGTGTTTTTAAAAAATTTGTTCATCATAAATAATTGTTGTTGTATTAATCAAAATGCACATTGTAAAAAAATATTTTTTAATACATACTATCACCAATAGCAACAATAAGATTTGCTACAAGGGATACATGTAACATTTCCTCTGCAGCAACTTGACGAATTAGTTTTATCACATGGTTACTAGTAATACACATATCATGCGGATCTTCTCCTGGCTTTATCGAGTACAAAGCGTATAAATATGGTGGAATAGTGGTGAGTTCAATTTGCAATGCGATTTGAAGGAGATCATAAAGCTGTTATGGAAATAGGAAGAAAGAGAGTGTTAATCTGGGTTTTAATATTGAACTGTAATAAGATAACAATAAAGCTATAAATAAAACTCACATCATCTATGGTTGCTTTGGCTACTATATCACCAGTCTCATTGTAAATGTAACCGCGTTCGACCTCATGAAATATTTTTGTATTTTCATCAATCTTCTCCTCGATAACAAATCCCAACCTGAAAAATTCAAAAGCAACGAAACAATTTTAAGTAAGAATACGTTGTGAGTATAAATGTAATGACATATCTGCTTGCCTATCCCATGCCTTGACCATATCCATGTCACCCCATTTAGGTTCACCCCTGTTTGGCTCATTGACTCTGAATCCGCGGGTCCATTGTTTAAAGTGTTTTGAAGTAATTTCACCTTCTTTTCCCATAATTTCTTCCATCTACGGTTAATCATAACCAGTTAATTTAATTATCTTAAAAACAAATAAAATTCATCAATCTCAAATTACCAGTATTTCTTGTGGGATCACGACATCTGGTCTTTGAGCTGGCCACCAGTGGTCACTGCATTCATTAAAATCGGCTTGCCAAGGTAAAGCCATGTATGCGTTAATATCTCCAGGTTCAATACTTTCATTAATTCTTTAAAAACGAAAAAAATGCAAGAATTAAGAATAATGGGTCAATTATTTAAATTCTTCAAATCAAGTATGAATATGTGTATCGTGAATACCTAAATTCATATTTATCACTAAATGTATAACTATAGTATGCAACGAAAGTCATTTCAATTCCAGGAAAGAATGCACCTCCGACACTCCATTCAAGCGGAGCTTTTCTAAGATTTTTAACTTGATCAGAAACATCAGTGATAACTTCTTCAAACTCCTTGTATTCGGATGTTCCGTCGCTTTCCTTTTTATATTTTGGGTATCTGCCTGTGCCTTCTCTTAAAAATTGATAGTTGTACTTGGTGGGTTCGTTATGTTCGTTTACTACAAAATCACCCCTAGCCCAATTTTCTAAGAGACTAATGAAAAAAAAAAAAGGTTAATTCAAAGTCAAATGACATAAATTCCAATGTAATGCTTACCGGTATTGACCCGCAGTAACAGTCAAAAACGTATCTGGAAGAGAAGTTACGACATCTCCACTATTGCCAGACAAAGGCGGCATAAAGTATTCATAAGCTTGACCATTTTTTTCGAATGGATTTACGATACCATCAGGTTTCCGAACACGAGAGAAAATGCTTTTCCTGTACATCGATAATGAAATAAATATAAAAAAAAGCAAATTGTAATTTAAGTGAACGAAGAACAAACCTTAAGCCTTCTTCTTGTTCTGTATTATCTTTCAGACGTTTTTCCAACTCTGGTCTCAAAA